CAAAGGATGAGCAGGGTTAGGAAGCAAGGGGCTGGGATACCATCCATGACCATAAGAAGTAGTTGGACTGTGAGGAAAACCTCTGAACAGCACTCTGAAAGTCCATTACAATCCATCCCAAGACAGAGTTAGTAAGTAAGTGGACACTAAAGTAACATGTTAGCAAAGTCTAACACAGCATGGGAATATCCAGTCTGCTGTCTGAATTACTTCCTTAGGAGATCAGCATCGGCTACAGAGGAATGGATAGGAGCATCCCTTATTAGTCCTCTGTAACTCACACTCATTCTTCCCAAGCAGTCCCACTTCATTATCCTAGGGGTGTTCCCACGGGGCCTCTGTATATCTCCCCTTCCTTGATGAACTCGGTGAATCCAGGTCAAGTTGTTTGGTCATACAAAAGGGTATAGGATACCATTGTGCCTAGTAGCAACTACCAGAAGCCCAGAAGCCTGGGCTTGAAGATTCCTGACGGGTATTGGATGAATCTCCAGCAGCCATACCTAGCTGCCAAAAGGAACCCTGGCTGGGCAAATGAGCTTCACCTCCAAGAGATAACAGCACAGGGCATCTTCAGGGAAGCCACACTTCATTGTTCTTCACTTCATTGTTCTTCTCTTTAACTATTGTATCTCCACCTCAATCCAAGGTATGAACCAAAATGGTAGCTCCATAAGGAAACCTCACACAGTGCTGATAGCTGCAATCATCTCAAACTGGGCTCCAGTAAGGGACTCACCAGAGTAGATGCACTGCCATATCCAGGCATAGAATGTGTGTTAGAAACCAGAGCAACTGGCTGTGATCAGAAACTGACACCATCAGGGGCCATCCTGTCAGCTGAGTCTGCACTGCTCCTGTTGGAACTGAAAGTCTCAACTCCAGGACACGCAGTGCACAGAGACTAGGAGATTGAAATTGATGCAAACAGCAAGAGGAATTTTTATTCCAGTGCATTGGGTCACTTCACTCTCGCAGGAGGAAGAACCCTGAATTTCTGAAGCACACACCTTTTATACTTTAGCATAGACAGACTTTAGCAACAACAAAACTTGTTTAAACCTAATTGGACACTTTGCTTAGCCTTTAAACTTATTGGCCGCACTCACTCAGGCAATTATTTCTGGTGGGCTATGTTTATCTAGGACTGTGAAGGACACAGCTGGTTATGAATCAGTACATTCTGTGATTTTTCTCTGAATTTTTAAAAACTTTCTCCCTGCTATCAGGAACAGCCTGACCAGCGGGGTGGTTGTGTCTCTAATTGCCCTTTCTGTTCCCTTGGTTGTTATGGCGAATTTGTCAGGGTGGTCTCACATTCCTCCCACAGAAGTCTTAGTCAAGAAAGCAGTGTGGAACACACATGTTTCCTGACACAGCTTCCTGGCTCCGACATCATAGTACAGTCAGGTAGAGGGGACCAATGAGGGAAACTGGGTTAAGTGCCTGTGATATCCTTTCCATAGCACTAATGACTCTGTCATTTGCACAGTGTGTGTGTGTGTGTGTGTGTGTGTGTGTGTGTGTCTGTGTCTGTGTCTGTGTCTGTGTCTGTGTCTGTGTCTGTGTCTGTGTCTGTGTGTCTGTGTGTATTGATCTGGTCACATGTACCTGAAACTAGCCTGAAACTCATTAAGAAGCTGAGGGTGACCTTAAATTAGATCCTCCTGGCCCCCACCCCCCCTTTTAAGCATTTTTAAAGTGATGTTGAAAACAAAGAGTGAAGCAGAACTAAGGGGCTGGGGGAGGTTGCCTTACTGGCTAAGTCTCTAGTGTGACCTTATTAGCACAGGACTGAGGGAAAGCATGAGGGACAACACAAAAAGCCAAAAGGGGTCTCAGGAAAAGGACAGTGGAGTGAACAAGAGACCTTGGGCCTGTCCCCACTGATGGCATCCTTGTGGGTCATTTTGGTTCTTCTCAAAATGAAAGTGGCAGCTTGCATGAGGTTTGGAGAAAAGGGAGAAAGAAAGGTACCTGGGAAGCGCCTAACAGAAAGGAGTATCCAACTTTTTCCATCTTAATACATGGGTCTGTACCTTAATTTTCCAGTTCCTTTAAGACTAACAACTCTCAGTATCCATCCCCTAACATCCGCACCCTGAGTGGTAGTGAAGAGAGGTGTTGAAGAGACACAGAGGAGCAAACCTATTGAAGCCTATGGGAGTGGTCCAAGACCTCAGAAGAGGATATACTCAAGAAATTACTCTGGCTACTGAGAGAAGAATGACCTGCAGTTAACAAGGTAGACACAGCATAGCCAAGAAGCCACTGTCCACTATCCAGAAAAACATGGTGGTGGGTGGCCTAGAACAGGCTGATAGAAGTGGAGCTTAGGTATGCCAAGCTGGCAGGATTGATAAGCTGTGTTTGAGATAGTGGCAGAGGGAAGTCATCAACAACTGCTAGAGCATGCAAAAGTGTCCCATCCCAAACTGGGGACTAAGGAAAGGACCCAAAACAGTAAGTAGGAGGGTTGAAGGGAAGGGACCTAATGGGGATAGGGATCATCAGGATCCAAGAGAATGGAAGCAGATGTCCAAAAAGGGGTAGAACCAAAGCTGTGTGTGTGTGGCCCTCAGCACAGGGTAGTACGGAATAGCCTATGGACATGACCACAGCAGTGGCCAGAACAGCATCCTGGGCTCACAGGGTCTCATAATGATGCAATAAAGGTGACCAACAGGACTCAGAAAAGAAAAATAAGATCCACTACAAGACAGCCTAGAGTGATAGCTCTGCCCTTTGATGTCACTCCTGCCAGTAGAGAGCAAAGGTTGATCTCACAGGACACCACCAGCAGAGACCTGCCCACACTCCACTGTCCATTCCCCCTGTCCTCTTCCAGAGATTCTGTGGGGTTGTAGTGTGCATGTGTCTTGTTGTGTTGAATTGTGGGTCCCACATCTGCCCCTCCAAAGGGCTAGGGCCATGGTTCAGAGGGACAGAGGCACGGGAATTCGACTGTGTTCACTCTATCCAGGCGCCAAGCAGATGTCCATCTATGAGAAGCCACAGGACTCCATTCAGGGTGGGAGAACACAGTCTGAGGTCATGAGGGGCTGGAGCTCTTGAGTTGGGGGTCCCCCAGGCCAAAAGGAGGCTGGGGACCATTTGGTTCTCAGGCCTCTGGACTCTTAGGCACCACTGAGACACTGCAAAAGGGTTGAGATGGGGTGGGGGCATACAGGCTAGATCAGCTGGCAGCCAAAGGTGTGAGGAGGAAGGATGAGCTCCAGCTGTGCCTGCAGGGAGGAGGGAAGGAGGGGAGAAGGGTCTTGGGTCATGGCAACTCGCTTGTGTGGGTCTCAGTGTCTAGAATGTAGAGAGGTCATCAGCAGGAGATTAGGTGGCATCTCGGTAGTTGAAAACCTTTTCCATGGTTCCCCACAGTGAGTCCCATGGAAGAGAGATAGTCCATGGTCTTAAAATGTTTATTGTCATGGCAGAAAATGGATGAAACTATACCTCTGGTATTCTCAGGGTGGGCCTGAGGTTAAATACCTTTTATAAGGAGGAAGGTCTGGGAAGGAATGCTTAATTGGCTATGCCCTCTGGCCTTTAGGTATCTCATTAATATGGAGATCTATCTTGAGGCTCTGTGGCCTGTAGTCATGCCCTCTACCTGTGGAGGGACTAGTTGGGCGGAGCCTAGAGGAAATGCTAACATTCCTCCATTTTGGTTTAATTAAAATGAGAAACTAGAAATAGGTGATGATGAGCCAGGTGTGGAGTCATTGTGTTCCTTAACTACTTCCGCCTGACTTTAGGGTGATGGTTGTATTCTGGTAACTTAGTTGGGATGGGGATCCTGGTCAAGACCTAGGAGAGCTGGCTGTTTCATTGCTGTCCAAGGTCTGTGGAACCATCTGTGGCTAAAAAAGTGCAGGCACCAAAGAAGCATCTGTGGTTTGGTTCTCTGGAGCTGTCCTGGATTCATATTTTGAGTAAACACCTGGACTTGGCAGTATGCTGAAACATATATACATATTAAAAGTAGAAAATAGAGTTAAGTTGGTTTGATAGAAAAACTTTTTCTTAGGTGTACATTTGAAACCCTTAGGCCCATAGTCTTGGTGGCTCGGGGAGTCCCCAAACCAGGGAACCAGGGAGGAATAGGCAAAAGTTGTGGAACTTAGACTATTGATTGACAGAGGTACTTATCCGGATGGAGTTCACTTGACCTATAAGAGGTCAATCCGAGTGTGTTTCTTGGAGCTTATAAGAATCTTTTAAGTTTATAGAAGAGAAAAAATTTGTTACCAGCATGAACAGTTTTTAAGGCAAGCTCACAAAGACAAAAACCTTTCATGGAGCATAAGGAGCAAGAGGGGCTTTCCCCCTCTATCCAGAAGACTAAATGTACATAAATTTAGCATGAGAAACATCTTTAAGCCTATGTTTAAAAAAATAGAGCAAACTTAAAATCATGAACCTGTGACTATGAGAGTTGTTTGTATAGTTTTAGCATGAGAAACACCTTAAGTGTATAATTAAAAGACAACCAAAGGAAACTTAAAATCTTTTTTGTTTGTTTGTTTTTTATCAATCTTTTTAATAGAAAATTGTATCCAGTTTTTTTCATATTTCAAACATAAATGTACTTTAATAAAGATAATCCCATTTCTTCTATCTCTTTCAATGATTATTACAGTGAAAGGTAACACATGGATTGTGGGTGCTCCTAATGAAATGCTAAGTAGTGTAAATGTAAAGAGAAATCACCTTTTTGACATGAAAGAAAATCAACAGTCACACAAATTCCACATGATTGAAGTAAGTAAGGCATAAAGTATAACAGTCCCCATTTCGTGTTTGGCACATATATTAATACATTTTCAAACTGCAAACAATTTAAGACCAATAGATACTAAAACCAACTAGCATAGTAATAAAATGCCTAAAGGTTATGAACATCTTAAATACCTAATTCCCATATATAACTTCTGTTACCAATCATATCTTCTGTGAGGTTTGAGCTGTTCAACGCATTATTTGATTCAGGAATTCCCAGAATTCACTAAGTGTCCTACAGAAAATTCATGTTGAATCACACCACTCCTCTCTAAACTGGCGGATCTTTTGATGGCCTTCATGTATGAAAACACAGGCATACCCGACTCACAATTTTGAAAAAAAAATGGACGGCCTTCATACATGCCACTTTTTAATTTTATCCAGTCATTGATCTTCTGAAGAGTTGTTTTTTCTTGACTTAATAGTTTTGCAACTTTTTTCATCTTTTGATCATTTCTTTTTATATACTTCAACCCTTCCAGCTGAAGCTGGTCCAGCTTTTCATCTAGGCTTTCATCTAGGGGTATGTTTTCACATATCACAGGATTAAATCTAAAATACGTGTCAGGAGGTAATAGGCCATCAAGCATTATATGGACTTCCTCTGTATCTGTAGCACTGCTGATAACATCAGAGAGCTTGGTCTTCAGGCTCGAGTATGTTGAGGTATTCCTCACATCGCTCTCATACCGTCCTGTGCCCAAAGACACTAGACACTCAAGCGGGGTATCTGGCCAGATACATTTACATTCATGCAGGGCAAGGCCGAAGGGTTATTCAGAAGCAAACCTCCATCTTGATGAAGATCATTCCCCAGCGCATATTCTGCAAAGTAGCCTGGGGCAGCTGATGAGGCTCTAATGGCCTGCCACATCTTACACTGACAGCTGATGAGGCTCTAATGGCCTGCCACATCTTACACTGACAGCTGACGAGGCTCTAATAGCCTGCCGAATTTTATGCTGACAGCCTCCTAAATAGTGAGAGTTGGTGCCAGGAAAATGACCATAGTTTCTGAACACACAAGCTTTTGGTGTTTGTCCTCTGTTTACTATGGTACTTATAGCAGCTACCTTAGGACACACTGGGTCTCTCGCTGTTTCAATCACTAATGCAGATCCAATTCTATCCTTAAGGATCTTTTCCCACGTGTGACTGTCATAAAATGCATGGCTCCAACTCATTTTGACGGTCCCAACAATGACATTCTGTGTGAACACATCCATGCCCAACTTTCGATAGAGTTCCTCACATTCATCCAGTGGCATGTGAAACAATCCCAGCATAAGTGCTAATATGGCCCCTGTGCGTACACAACAGATGTAATCAAAAAGCTGATGAATTGGCTTTTGAGTAAGGGAAACTTAAAATCTTGAACTAGTGATTATGAAAAATGGATCCTATACTGGAGTTAGGCTAATAATTTATCGAACTCCATTGATTAATGTTAGGATTCTGAACTTTCAAAGTCCTAATATAACAGTGGCAAATTGAAGGGAAGAAAGCTGAGGCATTTTTGTACCTTAAATCATTTTGTCACCATCCAAGTTTTTTATGTCCTCCAACCTTTATATCTTGCAACTACGGACCTCAAAACACCTTCTTAGACCCTCAAATATTTTCTTAGATCCTCATAACTTAAGCTTTCATATCCTCAGACCTTGCATAAAATTTATACCTTTTTCCATCTAATTATTTATCATGAGACATAGATGGTTGATCATTGTGAAGCAGTCACTGAAAACTGAGGTTTTTAGATAAGAAAGTAGCAAAAGGTTACATTTGAAACTTGTACATCTCTTTATCATGAAGCCTGTGAGCAAGACAAACTTGTTTGCCTTTCTGACAAGAGTCTGGTAGTCTTAACAAGCTAATTAACTGATTATGAAGTTAACACAGTGGTGGATTGCCTTGCAGCAAGAAGCTATTGCCTGTTCTCTAGCTGTCAAGCTACAGTTGGTTTAGCTGTCAGTGTAATCAGAGACCTGAGAAGGATAAATTTTAATCTAGATGCCATATATTAATTAAATGACAAAGGTTGTTCTATAGTCCACACCTAAACAGTTTTCCCAGGTCCCCTGTGGTCTCTATCAAAACTCAGGCAGAGGCAGTCTGGCCATTAGGCCCAGAAGATGAGAGGCTTTTGTCTGTGGAAGAGAAACATGGGAAAGATGATCTCACCTTGTCCTAGCCAATATGAGACATTCAATTGTCTGGGTGTCCTATGTTTGTCCACAGTTCAGGTCAAGCCCTGGCAGTGGGAAAGGTATTGGGATAGTGTTATCTAGTGGTTAGTGTGTCACAATCCAGGTGGAGTCCTTTATCACTATGCCCATATCTTCTTGGAGACCTTGGGAGGGGAGGGTCACAGTTCAGATTTGGGAGACTCTATCTGTCATAATAAGCTTATACATCTAATGCCATATTCAGCAGATCTCTAACAGGATTGAGAACTAGTATCTATTGAGCATATCTGAGTTAGACAGTCTGTGTCTGTTTTTAGTTATCTGCTCTAGCTGTAACTAGCAAATATAAAGCAGGGACTGAAGTTTAATAGTCTAATTAGCTACACTGGTTCTAAACATGACTTTTGATTTTGAACACATTAGAGAATATGACCATTTATAGGGTTACTGACTATCAGCTTGTATTTTTAATTATAATAGCTTTCATGAGACTAGAGCTGTTATACTGGCTTTTGAGACTAAAACCTGTAATGGTAACTTTTGAGTCCAAATCCTGTTAGGTTTGTGTAACAACCCATTTGGGGTCAGTCAACAGAGAGAGAGTGGGGATGGAGGGGCAAGAGATGTGAACAATGGAGACAAGACAGAGTCTGATCAAGTCTCTTTCATTGTTAGGAATTCCTGGGTATTTATACGCTTTACCATGTGCCTTGTCCTCATGAACAAGCAGGGGAACACAGCTGAAGGCACTATGCCACATGCCTTGTAGCCATGGATACCACGTGCACCTTGCAGCTGGGAGCACTAAACAAAGATGTTTATCAAGTGTGCTCAGCTGTTGTAGGCTGAGGAAAACAAGTCTCTTGTCAGGGTATATGGCTCTAGATGGCTCCAAAAATGATAGCTGCTTTCTGCTAGGACTTGGCTCCCAACAGGTTTGAGCTTTAAAAATTATGATTTTGAGTTGAAGCTCATTTAGTATCAAATCTAAAAACATAGTTCTCAAAGAGATTGAGAAACTTTGATCTTTACATGATATATCTATAGCTTTTTACACAGTGTATCTATAGCTTATAAAATACAAAGCTACATTATAAAATAACATCAGCAAAAACATATCTTTAAGGCAGTGATCTTTAAACCTTTTAATGTTGCAAACCTCTAAAGTGATATTAAAATAAACTATCTTTTAAAGAGTGAAAACATAGAGCAACAGTGTGACAATTTACCCAACCAGGATAGAGATCGTATAAAAATCTTATCTCAGTTCAAAAGTATCTTTGGGGACCTGCCTTCCTAGTTGGCTTAGGTCACCAGTTGCTCCCCTCAAGCAAGACAGCAATGAATTGAGAACTTCCCACAACAAAGATGGCTGGCCTCAACCAAGATGGCAGTGAAGCTATAGCTCTGCCTTTTCCAGCCCTTAGCAAAGATGGCAACTAGTCAAGTGTTGGTTGCATCCCAGGATGACATATCGTGTGATTTAAGATTACCTGAACATGGGGATTTTAATTACTATTTTGGCCCTGGACTTTAAAAACATGTCTGAGTCTGAAAAGGCGAGCAATAACTTCTTTAAAACACCATAGAATAGTAGTAGACTAGTATTGAATAATTTTAAGCTTATATATGTTTAAATAGCATCTGAAAGGAACAGCATTCATTACATAAGCATGCACTGGCTTTGTGCTAACAACAAGACAGATGGTTAGACACACACTTTAAATTAGCTTTTGTTAATCTGGATGGACCTCTATGATCTTGAAATTTTATCATCATATAAGAAACATTTTAAACCAGGTTGAATTGTATACATAGCATGTTGTACCTATATAACTATGAGGGCTGAAGAGATGGATCAACTGTTAAGAGCACTGACTGCTCTTCCAGAGGTCCTCAGTTCAATTACTGGCAACCACATGGTGGCTTATAACCATTTTTAATGGGATCCAATGCTCTCTTCTAGTGTGTCTTGAAGACAGCTACAGTGTATTCATACATGAAATAAATAAATAAATCTTTAATATACATATATATAACATATTATATATGTAATATATATAACTTTAAATTTGTATCATCATACAAAAATCCATATTAATTTAAAATATAAGCCTTGTTTTCTTAGTCTGAAAGGAGATTTCTATAATAAACAGTTAATTGGGATTAAGACATTTTATAATTGCTGTTTCATAATTAAAGCTTTTTTGTATATGCAGAATGGAAAGAAATTAGATATAAAAAATTTAGAGCCGGGCGGTGGTGGCGCACGCCTTTAATCCCAGCACTTGGGAGGCAGAGGCAGGTGGATTTCTGAGTTCGAGGCCAGCCTGGTCTACAGAGTGAGTTCCAGGACAGCCAGGACTACACAGAGAAACCCTGTCTCGAAAAACCAAAAAAAAAAAAAAAAAAAATTTAGAAAGTAGAAGTTTAAGAGTAGGCAGAGCAAGTTAAGTATAAAAGTTGTTTGAATCATTCACAGTGAGAATCCAGAAATCAGAAATAAAATCTGGAGAGTGAGCAAACATCTGCAGGTGGGGAAACCAGAAAGAGGAATGGGGGGTGGGGTGGCAAACACAGGTCCACATGGGCAAGCTGGGAGCCAGTGCCATGTGGAGGGAATCAACATCAGTAGAATTTGGAATTAAATCATACAGTGATCTATACATCTCAGGAGTGAGACCAGGCAGGAAGATCCGGGGCCTAGAGAAGAGACATAGAGAATTGCTTTCCACCTCCCCGATCGCTCATATTATTTGTAGTAATTTTATTGGAAAGACAAATAAATTTAAGACTAAGGTTTTTTAAGAGGCATCTTATGAGAGGCCTGTTCCTATGGATGGGAAAGTGGAAGTGGAGTGTCACTGTAGCCTGGAGTCGTGGGTGTCCCCAGACCCAGGGAGGACAAAAAAAAAAAAAAAAAGAACAAAAGTCATTCAGTAGATCATCATGCACTCAACAGGGGTCAGAGGTCAGAGCCTAGCCCAGCTAAGGAGACCTGGTGCCTGGTACCAGGACTTTTGGAGAGACAGAAGGCAGAGAACCAAGCTCCAGAAAGGGGTCCTATCCACAAAAAAGATCTGAGTAAGAAAAGAGCAGAAAGGGGTGCAATAGCCTAGCAGGGCCTATGGAAACCACAGAGTTGCAGCTTCAAGGGTAATGGTACAGGTACAAGTGAAGAGGGTAGGATTGAAGTCAGCTTTAAGGGCTGCAGCTGAAAGTGCCTCTGCATGTAACAGTATATTGAAAGAGTTCCTTGGACTCTGGGAGATGTTAAAAAGACCAAAAGGGAAGCTTACCTAACTGTTGGTGGGTGGAGTGATGAGCAAATGGTGAGCCTGAAAGCACAAAGTTGGAAACACTGAGTCTTTAGGCACCAGTGATGCAGCTGGAGGGAACATCTTGGTGTGTCCAGCCAAGGTATTCAGCTATACGACAGGCTTAGGATAAAAGGACATTTACTGGCAGGTAGGAGACCTGGAAAATGGAGTAGAGGCAGAGAAATAAGGTGGACAGATAAGAACAGAAAGAGAGAGGACCCACCCCGCGCCTGGTCCTTTTGGCTGGGGCAGACACCGAGTGGGTCTGCTCCTGTAGAGACACCTTATCCTGAGCCATCCTAGAGGAGCCACTGCACTGAGAGCAGCGGGTAAGAACCCTCGCCCACTACCTCACACTCCAGAGTTACAAATGGGAACCAGGGGTGCTCAGGAACCATCAGCCACCCAAACCCTGTCCCTCTGGAATACTACTTCCCTTCTGCCCCACACCTGGTCCTTTTGGCTGGGCGCACACCTAGCTGGTCTGCTCTTGTGGAAACACCTTATCCTGAGCCATCCTAGAGGAACTGCTGCACTCAGAGCAGCAGGATTTTAGGATCCCAGAGGTGGCCCGAGTCCCAGGAGTTCTTCCACCTAGGAGCTTAGGAGCACGGGAACACAGAGACATCTGTACTCTGAGGAGTTCTGACACAAGCAGGATAACTGGAAAGATAGACTCCAGTCAGACACAGTGAGCACAGGTAACACTAGAGTTAACCAGATGGCGAAAGGCAAGCGCAAGAACACAAGCAACAGAAACCAAAGTTACTTGGCATCATGAGAACCCAGTTCTCCCACCATAGCAAGCCCTGGACACCCCACCACACAGGAAAAGCAGGATTCAGAATTAAAATCACTTCTCATGATGATGATAGAGGATTTTAAGAAGGACATAAGTAACGCCCTTAAAGAAGTACAGGAAAACACAGGTAAACAGGTAGAAGCCCTTAAAGAGGAAACACAAAAATCCTTTAAAGAATTGCAAAAAAACACAACCAAACAGATGAAGAAATTGAACAAAACCATCCAGAATCTAAAAATGGAAATAGAAACAATAAAGAAATCTCAAAGGGAGACTACCCTGGAGATAGAAAACCAAGGAAAGAGATCAGGAGTCATAGACGAAAGCATCACCAACAGAATGCAAGAGATAGAAGAGAGAATCTCAATAGAATTTGGAAA